GGGAGCTAATGCAGATCCACTTTGTGGAATGATATTTTTTTTCGTCATGACAGCATGAGGTACATAAGTCTTCATTGCATTAACCAACAAATCTAGATTTGGAGGACCCCATATACGGACCTTAAAAGACAAATCGAGATGCTTTTTCAGCAAGTAGTAACACCACTGTCGTAATAACGTGAAATAGGGGAGGTACTCACATGATCATCGCTCTCAAAACTTCCGTTTTTAATGCCAGCCAAAGTCAATAGCAAGCCTGTGACAAAGTGAATTCGGTATCATAAACGAAAATGATTTCACAAGAGACCTGATTATTGGAATCGTAACAAGTCATACCACATACAAAAAACAACTTAATCTTCTAAGACAAACTTAGTTATGGTTTCAAAGTAGTTCATTATTCCTTGAAGGTAAAGATGCAAACCTGGAAGTCCACCAGTTGTCTCCGAGCAGACACGAGTAAGACATATATGGTCCACCTGTTTATCGATTGTTTAGCAGTGATCAATAACTATTGTACTAGTTTGGAACTGAAATCGCGCATTTGAGACATACATACCTGAGATAATTTAATCTTATACTCCGTGCAAAAGCGTTGTAATCCCTGCATCATGATCAATGCTTTAAGGATTAACACATTTACAAGTGTTTGTTAGGACTAAGAAACTAACTAGAAACTCTTGCAAGCAGATACATACAGGGGCGGACCTAAAGTATTCCGAGGAGTTTTATGTTTATATATTGATTTTTAACGAGGTTGACTTAGTGATTTAGGGTTCAAATCACTATTTTCTTTTTCTCGAACCACCTTAATGGAAATTTTGGATCCGCCACTGGATACATGGATAATATTATTACTCAGAGAGTTACCTCTCCAGCATTAAATATGAATCTTTCGTGGTCGAAGCAGAGCAGAACAGATGGGGATGTTTCTTGTGTATCCATTCCTGTCCCCAAAATCTGTAATGAACATGAAAGTAGAAAAAATAAAACTACGCCATCACACCAAATTGGTTGTTACATATGCGCGACTTTAAACGCACAAGATTTTGAGAAAAATAAAATTAACAAAGCACTGCACAAATATTTTATTTTTTTAAAAAAAACCTGAACATAAGCTTGTGTATTCTGGTCTTTGTTCCTCTCCATCAATTTCAACTTTTTGAACTTGTAAGTGAATTTTGAACTCCTCGAACAGTAACCAAACCTTTAATTATTCAAGAGGTTCATAATATATATATATATATACATATACGCACATTAAAAAAAGTTATATTTTATATATACGGTCTAATTATTTTGCGAAACGAATTCAATTGAACCCTTGATAAATTCTAAATCCGCCCCGGGTTCTTGCAGGTATGGGTCGCAGATACACAAAAAAGTAACCTATTCGGACTAGGCGTCCAATTGCCTTGTTTTTTTTCCATATATATAATTTATTTATTTGTAATTGCGTTATTTTAAAATAAATTATCATCATATCAGGTAGAAAAGTTAAATTACAATTTTACCCTTATGCTAAATTCAAATGTTATTAAATAAATAATTAATTAAATAGTAATAGTAGAATTTCTATAATATTTTTATTTAATTGGTATACACATGTGAGTAAATTAAATAGAAAAAAAAATTAAAAATAAGAGTTATCCCTTTGAATAGATACATGTATGTGTTTCATCTTCCAAATTAATTTATATTTTTAATTAATATTTGTCTTTAATTTGTAATAATACTTGATCTTTCAACTTTGTAAGTGAATCTTCATATTCCAAAACTATATTTTTTCCCTATAAATACAAATCTTTCTATGAAAATTTTCTAATAGTATTTTCATAGAAAGATTTATACGTGATACAATTTTTGTGTGGGGAAGACTAGAGAAGCTTTAATCAAGTGAAGAAAATTTCAAGGCAAAGAGGATTTCTGTCAAGATTACAAGACGTAATGTGATTATAGGGATGAATAACACTTCAATTACTAGAATATCGGAGTTTGATGTATTTATTTTTTTAATTTGCCGAGATTAGAACTATGATAAGATCCCTCCATTTATGTAGTTGAATGTCACTTTCGTTAATTTCTCTTCCAAAACTTTTAACTTTTTTTATGGTCAAAGGTTGACTGTTTATTACTATAGTTTTTTTTTTCAATTTGCAATATCAATAAAAAAACACGGAAAGGAATGTCTTGAAAATAGGGAAAGGAATGTCTTCAATTTACATTATCAATTTGCATTTTTGTTGGTAGCCTTATGCTAAGCTTGCTCCCATATTTGATTTTTTTTTTATATATTTGTAATTTTATTTTAAGAATATATTTGATTGAATGGTGTATTTTCATATAAATTTTTTAATACTTAGTCATAATGATTTTCCATTACAGATTTAGTATATTTGAATTCTTTTATATTTTATTCTTAGATTACAGTTTTGTTTACACAGTAAGTTTAAATTTTATAAATTGTTTAATAAATTAAATATTAATAGTAAATAGTAAATAGTAAATCATCATATTAGTATATATAACTTACCATCAACTTGTAAATGTATGTGACTCTCACTAATTATATTCATTATGTTCATTACTCTCATTTCTCATCGATAATCTCAAATGGATTAATATTTATTTATGACAACTCTTTGTATTTCTCAATGTTATCCAATAATAAATAGTGACATTTCACACA